GTGGGAGCGCCGCTGCGCTCCCAAGCGGCGCACTCTCCAGTGCACCACCGGGCCGGCCCCCCAGTCTTCTTTTAAAAACAAAAAGTTCATGGAATGATTTGTATAATGTTTCAATTCTATTTTTCCACAAACTTTTTGAAGTACCCTCGTATATGTATTTGCTTTTTATTCAGAGGTAATTTGTTAGTTTTCTTAAAACAATGTTGGTTTTTTAATGGTTTTATTGTTTAGATGTAGCAAGTGTATTGGAGTGGTACATGGGGCGAAAGCTCGTAACACTGACCTGTCATTATTAGGGAAAAAGGAGAAGCCAAAAAAGTTCACTAAGCAACCAAAAAAGCAGACGTCTTCACCCTGTGCTCAGAAGAAAGAAAAGGCATTGGAGAAGGTAATTCTAAATTATCTATTGTTATCCTAAAATTCATATGGAAAAATAAGCAAGCAAGCATAGCCACAAAAAATCCAAAAGAGAAGAGTAATGAATACCACACTGAAACTCTGGCAGTGTAAAACTGAATGAAGAAGTTTTTTGTAGACTGAGAGATTAAATATCTCAGATATACTGACAAATCAAAAAACGAAGGTGCTGAACACTGTATATAGTGGCATAGTATGCTACCGTTTGTGTACATTAGATGGGGAAAATATATATATATATGAGCTTCCTTGTATATGCATAAAATATCTCTTGAAAGCTACATAAAAAAATAGATAAGATTGGTTGCCTCTAAGGAAGGGAACTAAATGTATGAGGGACAGAATTGAGACTTTTTAATGTATGTGCTATTTGTACCTTTTGAATTTTGAACCAATATTATTTGAAAAATAAATAGACTTTTTAAATTAAAAATAAATTATATCTTATGACCTTTTAAAATAATTCTTACTTCTTCATGCCTTTGAAGGAATGGGTAAAAAGCCAGGTAGGAATAGGCAAAGACTGAGATAAGATCCAACAGTTACATTGGAGGGGTTGTACATTCATCTTTGTGTTAAGTACCACAGGCACACAAACGGGTTAATTGCTGGGGATCCAAGGTAAGCAAATAAGCTGGGTTCAAATTCTAGGTCTGTCTATCTTTGAAGAAGTTTCTTAGCTTCTCCGAACCTATTTTATTATGGAGATAATAGTAGGGCTTGTCTCTCATGATTGTTGCGAGGTTTAAATGAAATAGCAGTTATAATGCTGTTGGTGCAGTGTCTTTTATTTAGTAAATATAAACTCTTTTTAGTATTAACTATAACACTAATCAGTAAATATGTCCTAATTGGGCCTTAATTGTCTACGTCTTTTTTTTTTTTAGTCAGCTTCTAGAGATGTGTCTCCTTTCATGTGAGTATTGTTCCTTAATCCAATCTGATGTCCACTCTTTAAGCAACATCAATGCTGATATTTTTTCGATTTTTTTCAATAGTGTGAGTATGCAGAAGAATAAGTGGGATGCCACAAGATCCTTGAGATTCAACCAGGATGCACAAAGAGAAGATGGTAAATTTTATTATTTGAGTAATGTACAAACTGGGCATAAATAGCAATGATAGGAATATCTTTCATTTTATGAAGTATACTTAATAGCTTTAAAGGTTCCAGCTGAAATAAGGCCCCAAATTGGCACATTCCTTTAGGCGCCAACCAGTTTGATTACTAGACAATCCTAGTGCATAATGTATTATTTTATGCATCTGTGGTTTTGAGGTTTCTTGGACTAACTTTTGCCCATTACTTTCACTGTAAAGGTGACTTGAATATGTTTCAGACTGGTGTATAGTAATAAAAAGTGCAGCATAATTGTCCATGTACGAGTCATTTTACCACCTGCTGCCTTAAATTCTTCACAGATAAATAGATGTATGTGTCTGTAAAATAATATTGAAAGATGTTTTCATAAACTTTGATGATTACTGTCTTTTTTAAGAAATAGAAGTTAAAAATCACCGTCATGAAAAGTAAGGTTTACTATTTTTTACCTTCAGATCAGCGGCGGATGTCTGAAATTACAGGGCACCTAATAAAAATGAGATTGGGTGATCTGGACCGAATCAAGTCAAAGGAAGTAAAAGAAGTAAGAATTGCATACTAGTGCAAAATGTGCCTTCCTACTTTTATTTTCAGCATGAGAAGTATAAAGATTTTTTAGGCAGAATTTTAACAGAGTAATTTAGATGTTTTGACATTCTGTGTCAGTTACCCAGTTCATTCACATAAAAGTTTTCCACCTCCTTTTCCTCCATAGGTTCCTCTGTAACATACATAATAAAGTACATCATCACTGAAACTGTGATGTACACAACAACAGTAGGTTAACTCTGCATTGTTGACCAAATGCTGACTATCCAAAGGGTCACTTTCTGAAAGTGCTGATTTTGATCAACTCTGGATATGGTGCTTAGATGTCATCTCTAAAATCAGATGTTATCTTGCTGAAAATGATGACTAGAAATACCTATATCTTACTAGAATTACATATTAGTTATAACATTATGTATTGCCATTAGTATTGGTATTATGTATACACTATAACTCTTTTCCTAATTCTTTTATTTAAAATTTTACTTTTCTATAAAACTTCTAAAGGAAAACATAGGAGAAAATCTTTATGACTTTAGGTTAAGCAAATATTTCTCAGCTACAACACCAAAAGCATGATCCATAAAAGAAGAAATGGACAAATTGGACTTCATCAAAATTTAAAAGTTCTTCTTTTTGAAAAATACCACTAAAAGAATGAAAAGACAAGACATGAATTATGAGAAGATATGTGTAGGGGCCGGCCCGGTGGCGCACTGCTACAGTGCGCCGCTTGGGAGCGCGACGGCGCTCCCGCCGAGGGTTCGGATCCCACATACAGACCGGTTCCCGCTCACTGGCTGAGCGAGGTGCGGGTGCGACACTGAGGGTTGCGATCCCCTTGCCGGTCCCAGCCCGGTACGGGCGCGACACTGAGGGTTGCGATCCGTTGCCGGACACAAAAAAAAGACAAAAAGGAAAAAAAAAAAGAAGAAGAAGATATGTGTAAAACACTTACCTGATGAAAGGTTTATATCCAGAATATACAAAGAACCCTCAAAACTCAATAATAAACAAGTCAATAAAAATAAATGGGCAAAAGATTAACCAGACACCACAAAAGAAGGTATTCGATGGTAAATAAGCACACAAAAGGATACAACATCATTAGTCATTAGGGAAATGTGAATTAAAACCTCAGTGAGATAGCACTATGTACCATCTAGAATATCTAAAATTAAAAAAAAAATTATACCAAGCGTTGATGAGGATTTGGAACAACTGTAACTTTCTTATATAGCTATTAGGAATGCAAAAAGGAATGGCCACTTTGGAAAATAGTTTGGCAGTTTTTTATAAACATTCAGCATGCAAATCAGTTCATACATATTTATAGTGGCTTTATTCATAATTACCAAAAACTAGAAATATCCCAAAATGATATCCTTTACCTGGTAAATGGATAAACAAACTACACATATAAAAAAGAACCAACTCCTGATGTATGCATCAGCATGGATGAGTCTCATATACGTTATGCTAAGTGAAGGAAGCCAAATTCAAACAGCTACATACTGTATTGTTACATTTATATAATGTTCTGGAAAATGCAGAACTTTGGGGACAGAAAACAGGTTGCCAGGAATTGGTAGTGGTAGATGGATTGACTTAAAAGGGGCACAAGCAGATTTTCTTTGAGGTGATAGAACTGTTCTGTCTTTATCGTGACGATGGTTACACAACTGTATGCATTTGTCAAAACCTGGAACTGTACACTAATGTACAGTTCAAAATAAAATTACTTATAAATTAAAAAGTAATCTCAATTTAATAAAACAAAGCTCTGGATTCTACAACGATAATTTTGTTTCTCTATTCTGCAGTTTGCAGGGGGTATTTATTCCAGGCTTGAAGCACAAATCAAGGCCTCAGTGCCAGTCAGTGCACGGCAAAACAGCTCAGAGAAAAACACAAGGTAAATCAGCATAAACTAGTTCAGAATGCTAGTGGCTTTAATGTGAGTTTCTTTTTTTTTTTTTAAGGGTAAATAATATGAACACTGTAAGCAGATAATTTGAGTTTGGCTTTATGTTCTGTTTCGAAGATCAGATTATCAAACCATTAATCAGAACCAGATTTTATGAGCACAAAATTTAATGAAAGAATAAGTTTGGTACTTTTTTTTAAAGTTTTCTGTTTATTGGGCTGGCTCCATTCTGAGCCAACTGATGATAAAGTGTAAGCTGTAGTGCTACTGTGTATTAGATTTTTTGTACTGTTTGTAGATTATATATTATTACTATATATAAATCACTGATGTCTTTACTGTTCCTTGCTTTATTATTTTTTTTGCTTAATAAAATCTAATTTGTGGGTCTTATGTCATTTTACATCACAAATTTTCTGCTAGAGATTAACAGTTACTGAGATTTGAACATTGATATTACTGATATTATTCCGAAATCCAGAGAGCTCAGGAAGCCAAAAGTTTTTTTTCATATATTTGTGGCAATTCAAACTTGAACTGAGCTGCTGTGATACTAGTTATAGTTTTTATTTCTCTCAGTGTAAATGTTCATTTGTTTCACTAAAGAAACATTAACATGTCCAATTATGGGGTACCGCTCCAGACCCATAGTGTATATATATATATATACACACACACACATATATATATATATAATTCTGTCTTTCAAAAAAAATCTGAATTCCCAAATGCATCTCACTCCCAAGGATTTTAGAAAATAGACTATGAAAATAGACGTGAAAATTCATTAAACTTTGACGTGGTCAAGCAAACAATCTAAAACAGCAGCAACTTCTTATTGTTTTAAAAGCAACTCTGACCTTCTTTTCTGTTTAAAAAAATCTAGGTCTAAAAGTCGTTTTGGTCAAGGGCGTCCTGCATAAAGCATCTTAAAATATAACTAAAAAGACAGAAAGCACACTCGTGGACATCTGAAATCACTCACTTCTTGAAGATCTTCAGAATGATGACTTCTAAGTGTTTTAAATTGCTTGTTATTCTTGCAAGCCACATAAATCATAATGCTAAGAGAATATAATTAGGTTTTATGAAAATCTAATTGTACACATGAAACTTCTTATATCTAATTTTCTTTTAGTATGATTTTAGGCTTTGTAGAAAGCAATTATTTACAAATTGCATAGTTAAGACTCCTAGTATTTGTTATCCTTTATTTATTTGAAAAGAGAAGAGGCCTAAAGTATCAAGCAGCTAAGTTTTTTTTTAAGACTTTAAAAAATTAGGAGAACACAACTGCTAGTGTTACTGTGCATGTGCACTGATTGTAGAATGTCTTTTGGGCTGTAAATCTTGGGAATAGCATTGAGAACTTCAATTTGTCTGATGGAATTCCCAATGATGCCAGTTTTAAGTTTGCATGGATATTAATGAGTGACAGATCTCAAGACTACATTAAATAAAGTTTCAGGGTGAGTTATTTCAATACTGTGTTGGGCCGAAGGGTTAATTTTTTTTTCCAGCATTATTCCATGGAAAGTACAATGTTAATCCAACGTTTTTTTCTTTCAGTTTTTAATGTTTATCTATTGGTCATCTGAGCTAGAGTTACTGGTTATTGCCTCTTCCCTCTGTGAAGCTAGTGCCATTCTGAATTTGTTAAAATAACCATTGATAGTTTTAGGATAATAAATCATTTCAGTTGTATAAGACACATCCCACACAGTTCTCAGGGCTCTAAAAGCCAACCATATTTCTACAGCCATTCAAGTAGCCCTTAAAACAGTTATGAGTGTTACTTACTTCAGAGATGTCCAAAACATTCCCAGATGCATTAGATGGGTGAAAAATTGTTTATATTCAAGAAAAATCAAAATAAAATTCTATTTTATACATCATGTTTTAATTTTTCTAACCAGGCAGAAAGAATGCTCAGGGAAAATTTGTTCCAAACCATAATCATATAAAATAAATTGTGTGTTTGGAAATTATTTATGTGTAAGTCTCTGAAAAAATTTTAGAGTGTACTGTTTCTATTTTTAGTCTTTATTTGCCTTATATTTGAAATTTCTTCAAATTATTCAGAGAACAGACTTTGATAATGTGTGACAGAACAGCAATTTTTATTGAAATGTTGAAGTGTTACACTCAGTTTACACGTACAGAAATTATTATTTTTAAAGTGAGTGTTTTAGTTGATAAATGAAACTAGATGTTATTTGATATTATATATATGGCTTTGCCAAGGTTTTTGAACTTGTGTTTGGAAATTTTGTTCCAGTTTCTATTTGTTTTAATTGTTTGATACTTTGGAAATAGGTAAATCATTTTTATTTTCAGAAGAAAATGTTTTGTAGTACAAGGGTACTTCAAACAGTTCAATGAAAGATTCATTATTATTTTTCAATTCTATTTTTCCACGAACTTTTGGAAGTACCCATGTACGTGATACGTAAGCCCTTTTGAATACTAGAATCTTATTGTAGTTTATTATAATGTCTGGTAGAAGGATTTGGGTTTGTATATGTAAACAATGCTGTGATGGTCACAACTAGAAGAGAAAATATGCTCTTTTGATTTTTAACTGATGGTAAAAGGGTGTACTGCTTCTCCCCTGAGGGGACTGTACCACTGAATTGATTTTTACAAACCAGAACTTATTGGATTTTGATTATCTTCAGAATGTGCTTTTTGTTTTGTTAATGTCTGTCTGTAACCATAGCACAGGTACCACAAACATTTTACTCAAACTCCTAATAGCATTTCTTTTGTCAGATACGTTGAGGTTTTAGTTTACATTAATTCTGAATTCACATTTCTTGAATTGAAATAAACGTTAATGACAAAAGTTGTTTGGAAAATCCCTTGATCTGAATCATTTCATCTTCTCAGAAAAAGTCTGGATTTGCTCTAGATTCCACAGGTTTTCATGAAAAATTACAAGGTGAAATTTTCAAGTTTTAAGATTTTTTTTTCTTTTTTATTGAAGCATAATTGATTATACATATTTGTAGTGTACAAAATCGACTATCAGTAGTTGTGTACAATATGTGATGGTCAAATAAGGATAGTTTGCTTATTCGTCATTACAATACATAAACATTGTGTCCGTTAAACAATTTCTCATTAATTTCTCATTATTTCCCCTCCCCAGCTTTCTCCCTTTCTCCCTTTCCACATCTAGTAACCACAGTTCTGTTCTCTCCTTCTAAAAGTTCAACATATTATTGTGATTGTTGTTTCTCTCTCTCTTTCTGTTTGTTTGTTTACTAATTCAGCTCCCACTTATGAGCAAGGAATGAGGACATGCTGTATTTCTCTTTCTGCACCTGGGTTGTTTCACTTCATACAGTTTTCTCCAGGTTCATCCATGTTGCTGCAAATGGCAGAATTTCATTGTTTTTTATGGCAAGTAGTATTCCTTTGTGTATATATACCACACTTTTTTTATCTAGTCATCCGTTGATGGACATTTAGATTGGTTCCAAGTTGCCTCCTTAGTGCTGTAGGTAGCACGTCAGTCTTATAATCTGAAGGTCCTGAGTGGATTGGTTCCATAGCCTGGCTATTGTAAATAGAGCTGTAGTAAACATGGGAGTGCAGGTATCCCTTCAATGTGATGATTTTCATTCCTTTGGATATATACCCAGTAGTGGGGTTGCTAGATCGTATGGTAATTCTATCTGTAGCTGTTTAAGGAACCTCCATACTGTCTCCATAATGGCTGTACTAATTTACAGTACCACCAAAGCGCAGAAGTGTTCCCCTTTCTCCGCATCCTTGCCAGCATTTGTCATTCTCTGTCTTTTTGATAATAGCCAGTTTAACTGGGGTGAGATGATATCTCAGAGTGGTTTTGATTTGCATTTCCCTGATGATTAGTGATGTTGAGCATTTTCTCATGTACCTGTTGGCCATTTGTATGTCCTCCTTTGATAGATGTCTATTCAGCTACTTTGCCTATTTTTTAATTGGATTATTTGGTTTTTTACTGTTGTTTGAGTTCCTTGTATATTCTGGATATTAATCCCTTGTCAGATTTATAGTTTGCAAATATCTCCTCTTCTGTAGGTTGTCTTTTCACTCTGTTGATTGTCTCCTTTGCTGTGCAGAAGCTTTTTAGTTTGATATAACCCCATTTATTTATTTTTTCTGTTGCTGTCTGTGCTTTGGAGTCGTATTCATAAAGTCTTTGCCCAGCCTTACAGCCTGGAGTATTTCATCTGTTTTATTCAAGGAGTTTTAAAGTTTCAGGTCTCATATTTAAGTCTTTAATCCATTTTGAGTTGATTTTGGTATATGGTGAGAAGTACAGATCTAGTTTCATTCGTCAACATACACATATCCAGTTTTCCCAGAACCATTTATTGAAGAGGCTCTCCTTTCCCCATTATATGTTCTTGATGCCCTTCTCAAAGATCAGTTGGCTGTAAATACATGGGTTGATTTCTGGATTCTCTATTCTGTTGCATCGGTCCAAGTGTCTGTTTTTATGCCAGTACCATGCTATTTTGGTTTCTATAGCTTTGTAATATAATTTGAAGTCAGGAAATGCAATGCCTTTGGCTTTATTTTATTTTTTTGCTCAATATTGCTTTGGCTATTTGGGGTCTTTTCTTGTTCCACATGGATGTTAGGTTTCTTTTTTCTATGTCTGTGAAGAATGTCATTAGTATTTTGATAGGGATTGCATTGAATCTGTAGATGGCTCTGGGTAGTTGGACATTTTCACTACATTGATTCTTCCAATCCATGAACAAAGAATGTCCTTCCAGGGCCGGCCCGGTGGCGCATTGCTACAGTGCGCCGCTTGGGAGCGCGGCGGAGCTCCTGCCGAGGGTTCGGATCCCACATACAGACCGGCCGCTCACTGGCTGAGC